CCTATGGCAAAAACCTCTCCAAAAAAAAAAAAAAAAATCAACCCCTTTCAGGGCCAGCAGGTGGCATGGTGGTTAAGGTGCTGGATTCCCATATGGTCAATTGTGTTTCAAGTCCTAGACTCGGTGGCTTAAAAATCAAGCCAGATGCATGTGTGTGTGTGCCCAAAAATCCCAGAGGAAAATAGAGGAGAAGGGATTACAGCATGGCCATCCCCCCAGGGGATGATTTTTCACCTTCCCTCTGTCTCTCTCTGGAGAGTGCACAGGCCCTATGGCAAAAACATAAACCAACAAAACCCTGTCATATAAATAAATAAACTTAAAAAGAAAACACACACACACACACACACACACCAGAATAGACTCTCTTCTGACACATCAACCTTTTGCACACTCAGAACTCCTTCCCCAGGTAAAAGGCCAGGAATTTTTGTAAATTTAAAATGACCTTTCCTTTAAAAATAACTCAAGAAGATAAGAAGTGCTAATAGCCTAACCGTGCGCAGTAGGGGCTAGGTACATTGTATACCTTTTCCTTCGAACAACCCTAAGAGGTAGTTTTAGCATCCCAGCCACAGGAGCTACTGCAAAGACTCAGAAATGCTAAGTAACTAGTTCAAAGACAACAACAAGGATATTGAGAGATTTCACTGCCTAGTCCTCCTTTCTCCTAAGCTTGCTACACATCTACTAGCCTTAGGTAGAAGGCACCTCTGTTAATGAGAGGTGCTGCCCCTATCCAGGGAGAACAGCACAACAGTTAAGAACAAGTCTTCTGGGAACCAGCAGGTGGTGTGGTGGTTCAAGTGCTGGACACTCCCACATGGCTGACCACGGTTCGAGTCCCAGACTTGGTGGCTTGCTTTCTCACTCCCTGGCCCTCATCTCTCTCTGGTCAAATTAAAATAAATAAATGAATAAATAAATAAAATTAAATGAATAATTCTTTAAAAACAAACAAAATAAAACAAAGCAAAAAAAGTCTTCTGTTGCCAGACTGTGGGCATTGGGAACCTGGCTCCAGCTGTTTTAAGCTGTGAGCCTTTGGGTAAATCCTTCACCTCTCTAAGTTTTAGTTTACTTACCTCTATTTTGGATATAATACTGCAGTGTTATCATGAGGAGGTGACTGTGAGGATTGCATTCATATAAGGGGACATCGAAAATTTCGTGGAAAAATGAAGTGGTGCAAAAAATATGTTTACACCAATGTGTAGTTTTTCATGATACACTTTTTCCACAAACTTTTTGAAGCTGCCACCTCCTCTGCATATATGTGAAGCATTTGGAGCTGTGCTGGGTGCCCAGTCTGGGGCTATTTAATGACAAACTATGACTAGAGGAGTGTAAAATCAGGGGATTAGAACACAGATGAAAAAAGCAACCTATAAAGCAACATCTAAACAAAGGTCCATGCTACATTCTGTTGAGTAAGAATGTCACCAAGAATCTAAGCCCCAGTGGTATCAATCTGCTTAAATCATTAAGAAATCACTTCTAAAAAGAGAGAGAACTGAAGACAAGACCTAGGAAGGAGGCCCTTTCAGAATCTACACATCCAACACCTTGAGAAGAAACACTTTCTGATGATAATGACCCCACAGGGACACCATCCAAAGCAGCAATGTGGCTTTTGTCTCAACCACCAGAATTTGGTAGACTCTTGCCATCCATTTCAATGGAAGACAAAGCTGGTTTGATTAAAGCCAATTTGATTTCCCTTTTCCCTGAGCAGAGCTTTGGGAGATGTGAATCTACAAGATTAACTTATTTTCTGTCACACTGAGCATGACCTGATAACCTGAAGACAATTCTTGAGTTTCCCAGTTAAAGTCATGCTACAGAGGAAACCTGAAATCCGGCATTGGTCACATACAACCAATCTATGTGTAACTCAGGAAAACACCGAGAACTTTGAGTTCTAGAGAGTTTTCCTCTTATTCACCATGTCCTCTCCCTTTGCTGGTTACTGCTGCCACTTTCCCGTTCTGGAACCCAATCTCTCTTCTTCACGCCATGTGGCTCAAAGGAGTGAAGCTCTTCTATCTCCCTCTGCTCTGGGGATGAGCATGTGATGCCGGTCCAGATACGTCACTGTGATTGGCTCAAAGCTAGAACACATGATTTGATCTGGGCCAATGACGGTCTGCCTGGGGCTTTTCCGAGAACAACAGGGA